GTTTGGGGTGGGGGGAGGCTTTGTTTTCCTAATGTTGTCACCACTCTACATGCTGCAAATCACAATCAAGCAGAAGACGGGGGAGCCTCACCCATGCATCACTGCATCAACAAAAAATATTATCATGTCGGGGAGGATGGGGAAGAATCAAAAGATGACATTTGGAGTAGAGAGATGCCGAGAGGATACAGATGGTACAGCCACTCACTGATAAAAGGGTGACCGGAGACCTGGCGCAGGATAGCAATCTCTTTGCTGGTTGACAAGCGCACTTCTTCCAGCTGCTGTGGGGTCATGCGCTCCGGGGTTACCTCAATAATCTTTACTGCATACTCCTGGCCCGTCTGCTTGTGTATACAACGCCGGACCACGCTGCTTACGCCTCTGTAGGTGGGAGGAGTAAATAGTGAACAGAGAGATCAAGTTTCCAGAAATGCTAATGCTCCCGGTGGGGACAATTCTAGCCTCACCTGCCAATAACGTCCTTGGGGTCGTATTTCTGGTAGAACTCCTTGGCTCCAGCCCAGTCTGGAAGCTCATCATCCAGGCCCACGTCTCGCGTCATTGTACCGCAGGGGCGGTAAACCTCAAATACAGATTCAGTTTCTGAAATGCAAAAAGAGGCAGAGGGAAACCTGTCAAACAGCTGCACACTTTCTAGAGTCAGCTGTTTCCTGATCAGCATGCACTGGTCCACGGGAAGACCTAGAGGGGCAATCAACATACGTGATGGTAGCCTCAGGCCGAGACATTCCAATCCACACATGGCTTTCATGGACATCATGGAAGAAATAAAGGAAAAGGACTTAATTGGACTGAGGAGCCTAATCCCCTGACTGAACATTACATTCAGGGCCAGGATGGATTTTAAGACACATCCTAGCCATCAAGGCACTCTCCCCTAGGGTCAAATGTAGCTGCAACTCCTCCCTTTGGATTCATAAACAAGTAAAAAAAAAATAAATCAACATTTGGCATCCTTGTGCTACCGTGGGGTAGATCTCCATTCCTGTGAGCAAATCAGGGCAACACAGAGAAAACCTGATGCATTTTTCTCCAAATGACCACCGTAGTGAGCAAAACGCCACCAAGATTTGACATAGAAGCCACATACAGGAATTAATGGGACTAAAGGATTGACTAAGCAAAAACATCCCTTTGAAATATCCCATTGGATGGTAACATGTACATCAGCCTTTTCCTTGGGGCAAGACACACCCCACTTTGCCCACACCATCAAACCTTCTTCCTATGCCTGTTTTTCCATCCCACAGGAATTCTTTATTTCTTAACCTCCCTATAGAAAAACTCTTAGGGCCACATTTTAGCCGCACCCCAATCCTACAGTCTGAATCCAGCTGTAATCCTGTGGACCTTTCCTTAGGAGTATAAATGCCATTAAAACCAACTGGGCTTTCCCCCCCCCCCAAGTAAAGATGCATAAGATTGACAGCATGTCTAATAACACAGTAAATCAGACCGGCTTTGAGAACCTTCCACTTACTAGGACAATTTTCCCAACGCTGTGTCCTCTGGGAATGTTAGACAACAACTGAGGATACAAATACTCATTTGTCACCCTTGCTGGGAAATCTGAGAGTTGTAGTCCAAGTTGTCCAAACAATACCAGGAAAAAGGGGAGGTTATCCTAAGACAAACATTCTGACATTGGTTGTGTTGCTGAACCAACAGGCTGAAATTCCATCTCCACAATTTAGTATTAAAGGGTATTAGAAGGGCATCTCTCATCCGTAAGCACATACTGTCAACAAGCTTGATAAAAGATGACAGCAGGATACCTGCTTTTAGGGACTGGTTGCTGCATATGAAGATACATCAAAGTATATAAAATCCACAGGATTTTATCTTAGAGCAGGACACCATTTCTGTTCCATCGATGCCTAAACCGCACACACGCCGTTGGAGATCTGCCACTCTTTTTCCTGCACTGGGGCCTTACTTTCTAAGTATACCTATAATACTGGCCTACCTTCCAAGGTTGTTGCAAAAATTACTGAGATATCATGAGTGAAGCCATCGGAGCACCTAAGACATAACACAGAAAGTGCTGATTATATTACAAAACGGGCAGAGGCTGAGATAGGTGCTCTGCCGTGAAAGCTTCCTCCTCTATCCCAGATTCGTTCAGGCACGATAGAGATGCACTCTGCATATTCTCAGAAAGTCTCGTTTTAGATTCCAGGACCGTGGCCTAGCACTGACAACAGATTACGGAGCTGCGCTGTTCTGGGTCCCGCGTTGCCAAGAACCATTATCCGCCTATCCGAGCCCTTAAGCCCGGTCCGCTCACCTCCTCTTCCTCTTTCCACTGCAGAGGAATCCTCAGTTACGTCATCAACCCCCAAGCCTCACGCACAAAGGGACTGCCCGAGATTCTCACCCGGCAGCGCCTTTGCTGAAATCGAGTGAATGACCCCCAACGACAGCCGGCGACTCCCAGGCCCCACCCCCTTTTTTCTGATTGGCTCGCGCTCTTTCAATGCCGTGGGGAGTGACAAGGGCGATGAAAGGGTTTCGTCCAGACTGGCGAGGGCAGCGCCCAATGGCAAGGCGAATAGAGCCAGAAGGGAGGCGGGCTGTCTAAGGCAGAAGCGAATCAAAGGAAGATGAAGAAATAAAAGAGCGGAGATTAAAAGAGGAAGCGCTGTTTCCTATCCGCAACAGAAAGATCAGCCAATCAGAATGGAAAGATGTAAGTGGCAAGAAGATGAACCAATCGTCTGCTAGATTTGAGAAGGCGGGGAGAGAAGCAGTTCGGTAAACAAACTTTGTAGCCAATCGCAAAAGGAAAGGGGAGGGCGCAGCGCAAAAGGGTTATTCTGGGTTTCACAATCGCAAAAGGAAGGGTCGGGAGGCGGTGACGGAGGAGCTCTCACGCCTTTCTTCAAGTTTTGGTCACGTGACTACACAGGGGGGGTGTTACACGAAGACACACACCCCGCCCTAGCCGGGCCTTCCGTGTAGTCCACAAACCTCACAACGACCTTGTGAAGTAGGTTAGGACGGGAAGCCCAAGGTCATCCAAGTTGTGCCTCGGATCAGCAGCGATCTAAATCTGGGCTTCCTGTTGACTGGGCCAACTTTCCTCCCTTTTATGCCATGCAGATCTGTTGGAGTTGCACTTCCGTACTGTCTGGGAGTTATGGGAGTTGCAGTCCTAACACATCTAGAGGCCACCAGGTTGGGAAGATTGCTCTAACCACTACACCTCAATGCAGCCTGTCTCCTTAGGAAAGTTATGTGGCTATTTTTAATCCGTTTTTCATCAAGAACCAGAAGTGGCTCCTGCTTTCCCTCTTTATCTGTACGACAACCCTCTGAAGGGGCCCAGGACTGAGAGAGTTAATGACTGGCCCAAGGTCACCAAGGGGCTTTATAGATGGGGCAGGATTTGAATCCAACTCTCCCTCCTTGCTCTTCAGGCTCGGTTCTGTGCCCAGCCAAGGTATCCCGTGACGTCCATGGGAGAAAAAAGGAGAATGCTGAAATAATCCCTCATTGAAATATAGACCTTTCTGTCCCCTTCCCTCAAAGGTAAACTATTTTTGGTACAAAGGGAGGGATTCTTTGTGCCCAAATCAGATAGTTTGGCCTGAGGCCAATTAAATTTTAATGCCACAATAATTTGGTCATTTGCATGCCGAATAGTTTGATTTCCTTTTTCCAAACTCAACCACTTTAATCTTTAGGGGATTTCTATGATTAGATCAACATGAGGTATGTATTTTTAAACCAGAAAAGAACATTTCATGAAGCAGAAATGCAAATATTTCAGTCAAGTATAGGTGCTTCTGAGAATCCGCATTCCATGGCAATCCTGGCTAGGAATGATGGGAGCTGTAGTACATCAGAGGGAGAAGGGTGATAATAGCTGAAATGAGCTAGGCTTGTCATGTCGAACAGAACTAATCCTTCTACATTGTCTGTAGGAGAACAAACTTGATGTCCACCATCTTTCCCCTCCACGAAGCCAACTCAACTGAGAAAAGTGTCACCATGATGAACAGCTCAGTCCCTGCTTGGCTTAATCCAAATGAAGAAACCTCAGTAGTCAAAATGTATTCTGGAAGTCCAAAGTCACAGATCGAGGTGGCTCATCATTCCGCTTGAGATATGAGGTAAGACAGGAGGACTAGTAGCAAAGGGGTCAGAATAAGAATGGAAAGCCAGACACCGATACTTAGGCAAGACATAAACTGAGACTTCCGAGCCCAGTGAATTGCTGCATTCTGGGAATGAGCTTTTTGCTTCTCATTAGCCTAAAGGAGCAAAAACAGTTTTATTATTCACTTTGAATGTAGAATAAGGATGCCAGATACCATTCATTTTAAGGCAAGACTCTTTTTAGCCTAACTTTTCATATCTGCTGAAATGCTTGATACAGCTCTCAGAATTTTTGACTCCTCTTCCCAACACACTGAACCACAAATAGTCTAACCACACTTCAGCTGAGCGTGTTGTGTCAGAACCTAGCTTGTGTGGTTAGTTTATGAGTCGCTGTATCATCAGAAGCAGAAAACTGGACTCAGTGAGTGAACCATCACTCAGTTAGCCATACGTAACTATGTCATGCAAATGTCTTAGGGCTGCATTTCTTCATATTGACCCTAAATCTAGAGTCCAGATGGGCAGAGCAAACCTAGATAGGACAAGGGAGGAGCTGTGCCTTATTTTTTCTCTTGTAAGGCACTTAAATATGTTTGTCTTGATGGTTGCTATGGGAATGCTTAGAAGACCAGCCCTAGACTGAAAGTTTGGATTCCACCCACCCCATATCTTTAAAGTCAGTGCCTCCAAAGCTTTCCATCTGCTGCCACCTGGGGGAGAATCTGGTGGGGACTTTCCACCATGTGGGCTCAACCAGGACCTTCCTTGCCCCAAATATTTCAGGAGGAGAACTGTGTTGGTCTAAGGTACAAAAAAATCAGAAGGAGCCTGGTAGCACCTTGTTCAATTAACAAAGTTTATTAAAAGGCATATGCTTTTGCAAGCTGCTCAGATGCACAGAGTGGTTATACTGATTAAGGATTTCAACTGGGGTGAGGTAGAGTGGGGGGAGAAGGAGGGGTAGATAGTTTGGTTATGCAGATGCAGGTTGAATGTGAGACAGATTACATTTTTCATGTAAAAAAATTAACATTTAATTTAAAAAAATTAAATTATTTTTTAAAATATAACATTACAGGCTACATGTAATGTTTCACATATAACCTGTGTCTGCATTTCCAACCTATTTTCTCCTCTACCTCACCCTATTTAAATTCTACATCAGTGTAGCCAATCTAGGCATCTTATGAAGTGCGTTGCAGATCATGAAAAGTTTAGGCTTTTGAATAAAATTTGTTGGTTGGAAAAGGTGCTACCAAGCTCTTTCCTATTTTTATTTTTTGCACTAAGCAGAGGTTCTCTCTCTGCAGGCAAAGCCTGGTGTTGCTCTAATAGTGCTACATCCAGAAGCAACAACAGAAACGGGGCAAGAGAATAGGACTGAACTGTATGAGCTGATGAAACATACCAACGAAACTATTAAAATCACTTCATAAGTTTGTTTTTATTTGACAGGGCAAAAATATAAGAAAATTCTATCTTTTATTAAGCACAAACTCACTATTACGGCATTTCTAACAAATCTAAGCTACAATTACCTTGGGGAGTGAAATATTCTTTTATTTCCTGTCAGGGGTCTTAGGAAACTGCAGAAATGATTAGTTTAGAACAGTGTTGTCCAAACTTGGCCACTTTAAGATGAGTGGACTTCAACTCTCAGAATT